ATCCGCCGCCGAGGCCTCGCCCTACGCCGAGTCGCTCACCCGCAAGGGCTACGAGGTGCTCTACCTGACTGAGCCTGTGGACGAGGTGGCGGCGCAGACCCTGGAGGTGCGCCCGGGGTGCCTTTTAAGTTAGGATAGAAAGCTCTGCTGCGGGTGCCTTTTTACTTGTCTGTTACGGGTGCTGGCGCCGCGCCCACGCGCGCCGGCTGAGCAGTGCCGCTGGCGGCGGCGCCGCCTCGCCACGGCGCCCGGGCTCCCGCCGCCGGCATGTGGGGCGGCCACGGCCACGCCTGCCAAGTGCCTCGGTCGTTCCCCAAGCTGCGTCGGTCACGGGCATCGTGTTCCCTTCTTTCTTCCCGCCCTTTCTTCCTGCAGGAGTACGAGGGCCACAAGCTGACAGATGTGAGCCGCGAGGACCTTCAGCTGGATGAGTCGGGTGGGTGCCCCCTCCCCTGCCCGCCAGCCTGCCAGGGCTGCCGGGTGGCGGCTGCTGGCTGGCAGCTGGCCGGCTGGCTGCCCTGCCGGCTGCCCTGCCTGCCTTGTTGCTGCTCGCCGCCCGCCAGCTTGCCGGCGCCAAGCCGGCTGCCATGCCCGCCTCTGCTGCTTCCCAGCACGCGCCGCCACGCGCCCACGCACGCAAGCCGCCCCCCTGCTGCCGCCCCGCCGCTGCAGAGGAGGACAAGAAGGCTCTGGAGGGGGCCAGCGAGGAGCTCAAGGGCCTCACAGCCTACATGAAGAAGGTGGGCTGGCTGTGCCTGCTTCTGGCTGCTGGGCTGCTTGTGGCTGTATGTGGCTGCTGGTGGCTGCTGGAGCCGCCATGGATCCCGGGACGCTGCCGCGGGCGCAAGCCAGCCTGCGCACGGCTGCCGGCTCCCGCGGCTGGCGGGGTGCTGGCTGGCACGGGTGGCTGGTCCAAGGGTGGCCGCCCAGTTCCGCACGGCCCCCGTGCGCCTGCCTTCATGCTTGCGTACCCCCTGCTGACTCCCATCCTGGCATGTGCCGCTCGCCAGCCAAGCCACCCCAACCACCCCCCTTCCCCAGCCGCTGCCGTTACGTGAACCTGACACCGCCAGCTTCCTCGCAGGTGCTGGGTGACAAGGTGGAGAAGGTGGCGGTGACGTCCCGCCTCACCGACTCCCCCGCCGTTGTGGTGGCCTCCAAGTTTGGCTGGTCGGCCAACATGGAGCGCATCATGAGGTCGCAGGTACGGGTCGGTACCGCACTTGCAGTACCTTACAGCTGGCGGTACTGTTGGTGGCGGGCGCAGAGCGCTTGTGGCGGGCGTGAGCCCTGGGCCGGCTCGCCCCGCGGCCAGCTGCACTGCTGGGCCAGCCCCGCTCCACCGCCACCCCACCCCATCCCTCTCTCCTCCACCACTCCTCCTGCCCCTCCTCCCTCCCCCCACCTCTGCCCCGCTGCAGGCGATGGGCGACGCTCGCTCAGCAGAGTACATGCGCGGGCGACGAATCATGGAGGTGCGCCCTGCAGCAAAGCACCCGCACAACCACCTGCCTTATGGGCTGGCAGCAGTGTGGTCTGCATGCTGGCGGCAGTGCCGAGGGACTCCCTGGCTTTGCAGCTGCACGCACCCCCCCACCCAACACCCCAGCCCCCGCCCCACATTCCAACCCAGCCGTACAACAGCCAGCGTTCAGTCGTGGGTATCATGTTTGCCAACAGGCTGACTTTTTGAAGCTGTCCCTTTCCCCCTGCTGCAGCTCAACCCGCAGCACCCCATCATCCGCACGCTGAAGAGCAAGGTGGAGCTGGAGAGCCGGTGAGTGTGGGTGCGGGGAGCGAGGCGGCGACGGCACGCGGGGTGTTTGCTGTGGTTGAACGTTGTTCATTGCTAAACAACGGCAGGAGGGCATGGTGCACGGGCAGGCGATTAAGGAGCAGTCGATGGGCAGGCGGTGCCCTTTGCTAGCAGCATGGCACACAAGGCGGCTCACAGCGTGCGTGCCCCGCAAGCCACCCCGCAGGGAGGCTAAGGAGCAGGTGCAGCTTCTGTACGAGGCCGCCCTGCTGGCGGGCGGCTTCATGATTGAGAGCCCCAAGGACTTTGCTGCCCGCATCTATTCGATGATGGAGCAAGGCAGCGGCGGCGAAGGGGCCGGCAGCACGCCCAGCAGCTCTGTCAGCGCGGGCGGCGGCAAGGCAAAGGCAAAGGCAAAGGCGCCGGCAGAGGCGGAGGCGGAGGCTGTCGACCCCGAGGTGGTTTGAGGAGGCAGGGCCGGTGACCGTGACTGGCTAGCGGTCACACAGGCAGGCAGGCAGGCAAGCAGGCGTGGATTCGCTCCACCTGACGCAGTGCCCAGTGCCAGCGCTGCAGCTGTGAACCTGGTCTCTGACGCGCTCGCTGTTTTCCGGCACCCCGTCCAGCTGTTTTCAGACCCCGCCCATTTAATTCTCGTTTTCCGTGCACCGCGTGCGAGGGCTTGCCCCACTCTGTGCCCCTACCCACTGTAAGCACTGCTGGTTGCTGTTGGGTCGCAGCAATCCAGGCAGGCCAGGCGGCCGGCAATGCGCGCAGTACAGCAGCGAGGCGGTGGAGCGGCGCCACTACCACGGGGCAGCGCGGAGTGCGTAATGCGTTTGTAGCAACAATTCCATAATCCCCGTCCTTTTTGTGCACACCGAAGCTGGGGCCAGCCGGGGCACACGGTGTGCACTGCACTTCCCTGGCCAACCCCCGCTTGAATCGGCAGGTGCGGTTGGCGAATGGAGCTGAACAGGAGGCCGGCACTCGGAATGATAGCGCGGCTGCCAGCGCCACCCGCTTCACTTTGCCGCCACCGCCCCGGACCGCCGCCGCCACACCCACGCTCTCCTGCAGGTTGCTCTACACTTCTACGCTGCATGCACCAGCCCCTTTCGACGGCACCCACCCTGTGATCCGCAGCCAGGCCGCCACCAGCAGTAGAGGCCAGGGCAGCGGCGACAGCTGGCGTCGGGACACCGTTGCCGCTTCGCTTGGCTGTCACCCAAGCTTCACCCCTTCAACAGCCGGCTTGCAGCCCAGCCTGTTGAAGCATATGGATGCCGCCGGGGGAGACGGCCCCATCCTGGCGTTTGCCGCCGCCACCTATGCACTGTTCCTGCCATACCTCCGCCTCACGGGGCAGGCAGACGGCGTTGGGCAGGCTGCGCTGGGCGCCCTGCTGGCGGCTTCGCTGGCGCTGCTGGGGTGGCGGCGCGCCGCGCGGCGCAGCTACCTGGCCTGGCGGCCCTGGACCGTGGCGGCCTACCAGCTGGCATCGCCAGCGGCGCTGACTGCGTGCTTACACATAACCATGATGGTACCGCCCACCCCCGGCGCCCTCGGCTTCCTGGCAGATTCCATACGCATGGTGGTAGGTGAGCTGGGGCGGTGCCCTGGCGTTGTACGGTGGCGGCGGCAGCGCATGGGCATGGGGTGGCGGTGCTGGGCGGGAACCCGTGCCAACCACCAAATCGTGTGGGAAATGAAGCGTCCGTCTACATCCCTCTCCACCTGCGCACCAAGGCAGCCCTGCCGTTGGACCTTCTGGCGCGCCTCCCCCCGCAGGCTGCCGCTGCCACGTCCCGCTGTTCAACGGCGCGGGGCTGCCGCTGGAGGTGCTGCCGCAGATGGCGGTGTCTGCCGCATCCATAGCCGCCATCATGGCCCTGCGCGGCGACTGCTGCACGCCGGTGAGCGGCCCCCGCCTGGCGCACAGGTCTCGGCGGTCGCAGCCTGGAGTTTACTGCCGGCCTGCCTGCTGGCCTGCCTGCTGGCCTGCTTGCTGTCCTGGTTCCTCTGCACCAGATGCTGGGATCCCCAAGGCAGCCCTGCCTGCGCTGCTGCGCATGCATCGCCTGCAGCTCATGGACAGCGCGCAGATGGAGCGGCGGGTGGCGGCGCTGCACGGCGCGCTGTCACTGCCCATGCTGGGCCTGCTGCCGGGCAGCGTGGCCCCCGTCCCCGGCCGCCGCCGCCAGTGCGCCGCGATACTCGACTTTTTGCTCATCCTCTGTGGCTGGCTGCTGCCCGTCTACCTGGCGGCACGCAAGAGCCTGGTGGCAGCGGGGCCCCGCCGCCGCCGGTCGGCCTCGCAGCGCCTGGCCGCATGGCTGGGCGACCACGTGTTTCTGGAGGGGGGGCCTGCGGAGGCACGCGTGTATGCCTGGCTCTGCCTCGTCATCGCCTGCTGGCTGGCGGGAGGGTGGACGGCGGCGATAAGCACCGGGTGCGGCTAGCGGCAGCTGGCCCCGGCTCTGGGGAGCTTTCCTGCTGTCCCCGCTCAGCGCATGCCACACCAGGCTTGATCATGTTTCCCCTCTGTAATGATGTAGCCACGCATTTTGGCCCTGGTGTATTTGCCGGCAGTGATAAATCAAGGACAGCACAGAAACAAGGATCGACATTTTGGCAGTTCTACAGTTCAGTTGTTCAAGCAGATCTTCCTGAAATCGCGGGCGCCGCTTGCAACTGCCTCCCCTCCCAAGCGCCTACTACCGCCTTCGCAACAACTAGCGCGGCAGCACAGCCGCCTGCACGACCTGGGCGGCCGACAGCGCGGCCCTGCCGCCCTCGCTGCCAGCGGCAGAGTGCATGCGCTGCAGCTCCTCCACGTTTGACTCCAGAGCATCACTGCATGCATGCCAGCAGCAGCAGGCCGGGTCAGGTGGTGCACGCACCGCAGCCAGTCAAGCAGCCAGTGCAATGCCAGCCCCACCGCAGGTGGCGATGAAACAGCTGGCGACAGCTGGTGCCGCCGCCACAGGTGAACGAGCGGGTGGCACCAGGCAGCCGGCACGCACCACAGCTGTTCCAGAGGCATGATGGAGAAGGGCTCTTCCATGGCCACTGCAGGGGAGGGAGCAGCGGGGGATGGCAGGCCAGCCAGCCGGGCTGGCGCACGAGGAGAGCAGGTGGGTGAGGTGCTGCTGCAGGCGGCGCCG